ACACGTTTTGCACGCATGGTAGAAAAAGAAAATAAATATGGAAAGAAATCATAATGCAAAAAAGAACGAAAAACAGACAGAGCAAATACTTGAAGCCACATTTTTTATCAGCACGTAATCATTTCGGCAAACTCTTATCACCATAGCTAGGAATCGAAGTGAAAAGAGGGGAAACAACCTTATACAAATGCAGAATTTATTTGAACCTATTAGATATTTGCTGGTGAATAGGGGAGCTCCCTGCAATTCTCTATGTGGCATTCAAAATGAAAGAGGCGACATGCATTTTGTCTTGTGCAAACACTTATCCGTATTTTTGCACATTTGTTTGCTAAGAATAAATAAAAATCGCTTAGAATAAAATAGCAAATAAAAATTAAAAAAACACCAAATGGAAACTCTGCGAGGGTGTTGAAGCGGCGTTTAACCGCAAATGTAAAAAACGTGTTTGAAATTCAATTATTTGCTTGTTTGCCTGCCAGCCGCCAGGCACTTTAGCTGGAATAAAGTTGCAACTTCATTTCTAGACTACCAACAACAACAACAATTTAATTACAACATCAACAATCAGTCGTTGAGCTTACAAGCCAAGCAAACCCCAACAAGCGAACGTCCAACCGACCGACCGTTCAAACCGTACATTTCGTAAAAGCCTAAAATGAGGGTGTTTGGGTGTTGCAACACCTCTGTCATGCCACACATCCCATGATAAAGTCAGTCGAGACCATTGCTTAAACATTTAACGTAACAAAAATCACGTTAACTAAGCAAATTTTTACGCCAAGTCGGGGGAGAAGTGTAGCTTTTGAAGTTGTGAGAAAAATTAACACTTTCATAGTGGGTAAGATAGAATGGTAAAGGCGAAAAATTGGTGTTGCAGAAAAATGTGTGTGTGTGTGTTATTACTTAGCGAAGTTTCAACATAGATATATGTAATTATTTTTGTGAGACTGATATTGAAAACAGTGAATTAGTTAGGGAGAAAAAATAAAAATCTTAATAATACAACTCATATTTGGGCGTCATTTAAGAAGAAACAGTCAAATACATTCTAAGAGTTATGGCAGCGGTATAATTTGACAACTGTGATATGTGATCAAACAATTTTTGTTCTCAATAACTTTTATGTAATCATATAACTTAGACGACATTATCTTCAGATTATGTTTTAGATTTCCCCCATTCGTAAAAATATTAATAAATTTTTGTTCTCAATAAATTATTTCCAAGATATAGAACTCAAACAAATATTAAAGAAAAAAATGTAAAATCTTGATAATATAGCCAATATTTGGGTGTATTCGAAATACATTCTAAGGGTTAAGGCGACCGAAGATTTTGGTAACTGTTATACGAACCAAAGAAATCCATCAATTTTTCTTCTCAATAATTATTATTTTAATTTTCCCCATTAGTAAAAATTAATCAATTTTTGTTCTCAATAAATTATTTCGAAGACATAGGCCCTCAAGGAATCTATCAATTGTTTTCCTCCATAATTTTGCCCGAAGACCTACACTCAAATAAAGTGGACGAAATTATTTTACTTTTCTCAATTATTGCAAATCTTGACAAAACCTATATATGCTCTTTTTTGGGCGCAACTTACATTATTTCCATTGCTGGCAACTGGACCATTTCATGAATCAGTTTTTGTTCTCAATAAATTATTGTACATTTTGAGTATATCTTGGGCGTCCCTTATAATTTTTGCTACAACAAAATATGTTGGGCGCCATTTGCGTTTTTCTCCCCATATAGTAAATTCATTTCTACTAAATGCTACTGATTCTGACAGTGGTACAAGAGAGTTGTGTCAAGGACAAACAGAGAAAAAATATATATCCATTTAATCTTTAAGATTGCCGTAAGTCAAACCTTCCAAATTGACCTGAATATTTGAAGTACATATTCACTGTGTTCTGTAACCTTCTTTGTTAATTTATTGCAATTCTTTATTTCTTGCACTCCCATTTCACAATCGCTGATTATCAACAAAAATTCATAAATATACTAATTGTTCATGTCTGGGTAATTAACGAGAATGGGAAAAAAATGAGAAAAAAATATTCTTAAGAAAATAAATAAAGTATGCCTTTAACACCATTAAATTGTTAGCAAATAGATAATGTTAATTACACAAGGCAACAAAATTCTATGGCAGAGATTTTGAAAAAAATTCTAAATTTAAAAAGGATTACCAAAAAAAAAAATCCAAGGCCAAAAAAGTAATATGTGGACTCAATGTTAGTTTTAAGTACACAATTTTGACCTACAAAAATCTATTTTGTTACCCAGTGTAATAAAGTGTATATAGTATTATTAAGTTGTACAATATTTTTTGACGTAATTATAACAAGATAATGTTTATCTCCATTGTTTTTTTTTCTTTTTGCCATACAGATAAACATACTCACATAGATTCTAGTTTCATTTGTAAATTTATAGAAGGTTTTTTGTTTTTCTTCTTCACTGTTATTATTTTTTAGCATAAAGTGTGAACAAGTTTAACTAATTGAAATAGATAAGACTTACTGTACGGCGAAAAAAAAATACGAAATGAAATACAAAATTTATTGATTAATTGAAAAGTTAGCTGGAAAAATATAATTTACCGTTTGTTTTTTTATGCTACCCATTAATGGCAAACTGATAAAAAGAAACAAACTATTGCTGCGAGAAACACTGGCTGCGAAAAATGAAAATGAGATCATATTTGATGAAAATGTAATCGCGAAACGTGTCTAATGTAACATTTTTACTTGAATGCATTTAAATTAGATGATAATCAACTGGTTATGGAATTGGAATTTGCAAATTAAAGAAAGATTAGAAATTTTGAAATACAATAATCCGAATTTAAAATTCTTTTGGATGACCATTCGGTTTTTTTTCGATCTGCAAAAGAAAGAAACCCCTAATCGAACAAACTCCTCAACAGGAGCTCACTCGCAACTCTCAAGGAATGTATCAATCTTTGTTCTCAATAAATTATTTCCAAGTTGCAATCAAAAATTCTGAACATTATTTCCCAAATTAAAATTAAAAAAATAAATGTTTTTGAAAAGATTTTTAATTTGGAAGACTAGAACCACCGTCACCTTTTTTTTAAGTTGTCATCTCCATAAATAAATCAATCTTTGTTCTCAACAAATTCTTTCCAAACGTCTATAATCAAAATAACTATTATCAGATTTTTAATCTGTACCAATTCAAAATTCCTTCGGATGACCTTTCAGGGTTTTCTTCAATTTGCAAAAAAGAAACCCCTAATCGATAAAATTCCTCAACTCCTCTGAACTCTTAAGAAATGTATCCATCTTTGTTCTCAATAAATTCTTTCTGAACGGTATTATTTCCCAATTTGTTTATTGCCTAGGGGATTTTTATGACCATATAAAATCGAAGATAAAAAACAAATTACTAATAGGGAAAATAAATGTTTTTTTTTTGTTTTTGAAAGGATTTGACAATAATTTTATTTTTTTAATATGAAAAAAAATGATTAAGAAATTAATCAATTTTTGTTCTCAATAAATTGTTTTCAAACGTCTATAATGAAAAATTACTATTGGGAGAATTTTAGAACTAAATATCGGAGACACACAAAAAGTGAAATTTTTTAATTTTGAATTCTTTCCAATATGTTTGCTTTCAAAAGACGGCCTTTACTTTTTTATTTGAAATCTCTTCGATTGAACTCCTCAACAGGCAATTAAGCAGAATCCCGATTTGTTGGCCATGTACACTACAAATGAATCAATCTTTGTTCTCAATAAATTATTTCAAATCCCTAAAATTGTAAACACATGAAAAAATACAAGTTTTTAAAAATATTTTGAATAGCTTATATTAGTGCTTTATGCAAAATACATTTGGATGCCTTTCGAAATCACTTCGACTGAACTCCTCAACAGGTGATTAACCAGACTTTGTTCTCAAAAACATTCTTTCCGACCGAAAATTATAATTTCCGGACTAATTATAATATTGTTGATTACCTATCTACTATCAGAATCAAAAAATTCCGATTTTTTGGCCATGTATACCAAAAACCAATCAATTTTTGATCTCAATAAATAAAATAAAAGTTTTTGAAAAGATTTTGAATGCTTGTGAACAGGTTTTAATTCAAAAGACTTTTGGATGCCCTTATGTTTTTATTTGTTCTTGAAACATCTTCCGAAATCTCTTGGACTGAACTTCTCAACAGGTGATTAAACCCTAAAAAACCCTCGAAATATTCTACATAACCTTAACAGGATAGACTAAGGAAGGAATCCACAAGCTTGGAATATTTCAGAGAATATTTTTCAAGGTTCCTCGTGTTTGTTTTTTAAAAAAATATTTTTTCCAAAGTCTTCACGACCTAGGATTTTCAGTTCCTTTAAAAAATCACCTATCATAAAATAAAACCAACATATTTTACATAACCTGAAAAGGATACCCGATTTTGGAACTAAGGAAATATTCCACAAGCTTGGAATTTTTCAGAGAATATTAAAAAATATTCTTCCAAAGACTCCACGAGCTGGGATTTTCCAATATCTGGAACGAACCTATTACAAATCTCTAAGATAACATTAAACCAACATCTTCTACATAACCCAAAAAGGATAGCCGATTTCGGGACTAAAGAAGGAATTCGTGGATTCCTTGGATTTTTCAGATAATATTTTTTTTGATTCCTCGTGTTTGTATTATTAAAAAAGAAATATTTTTTCCAAAGACTACACGAGCTTGGATTTATCAGTTTCTGGAACGAAGCTATTACAAATCTCACCTTCAACGGCATATACATCAGAACTTTTTACAAGGTTAACCTACTTTATGAGGATTTATTTGGCATATATGCAAAGGAATTGACAATTGAAACCCACTGGGTTAACGAAATCCGGTTGAATGTTAACGTACTATTCTATCATAAAATTAAACCAACATATGTCACATAACCGATTTTGGGACTAAGGATATATGAAAATACAAAAAAATCTACTTACGGACTGTGACCATTTTTGGATCATATGCACTGACACGTCGTTCCACCGCAATGATTTTCTTTTGCACCACACGTGCCCTATCGCCCACCGATTGCAATTCCTTTTGTAGATCATCAAAAATATCGCTGGCAATTAGTACCAATGAGGCCAATTGCCTTAGGGCATTACTCAAGGTTATATTGCTGATCGAATCGAATTCATAGCCGGCAACAATTTTTGCAGCCGTTGGCGATTGGGGTGTACGCAAACGTTGTTGTTGCTGGGTGTGGGATGGGCGCATAACTGCACCCGAAGAACTTGCCACCGATGAAGAACCTGCACCAGAATTGCTACCACGTACAGACTGTTGTCGTGTCGGTGAGGTGGGTATATTCGATAGAAATTCAACATGTTGTTTGAGTTTTTTCATTGGCATTGTGGGAGCAGGTGATACGGGTGGTAATATAGTGGAGGAGCAGCCATCATCTTCATGATCGGTGTTGTAGGAGAAACTGCTGGCAAAGCCACCATTATTGTGTACATGATCGGTGGTATCCTTGCCGCCCAAATCGTTAATAATTGCCGAACCAGCACCACCTCCATTGTTGTGGATTATGGCCGTGGTCACTGTGGTCGTGGAGGAGGCTGTTGTCGATGAGGTTAGGGAGGGTGATATTAAACCGTCCTTGGCATTGCTATTCAACAATGAGGCTGTCCTTGAAAGCAATACATCGTTGGGGTTGAGAGACAATGAAGGCGGTGGCGGTGATGACGAGGATGAGGAGGATAAAAATTCACTATCTGCTGCTGCGGCTGTTGTTATTCTGTTTTGTTGTGGATTCTCTCGGCCATTGAGAGAGGCATCTCTCTGCTGTTGTTGTTGGTGTTGTGGAGATAATTTGTTGTTGATACAATTGTTGTTTTGACATTTGCCGGGTATGCAAAGGAATTTATTGGCTTTTTGGTTACCGGAACCGGATGTGGAACAAACTTGGGCAAGATTAACCGGCTGTACAACACGCTGTACAAACGGCATTTTTAATTTTTCAAAATTATTTAACGAAAATTCAATTCTTTTTTTATTTCAAATAATAATATTTTTTTCAACACATGACTTTAAAAATAAAATTTTCAAAATTAAATTTTCAAATATATTTTTTTCTTTTTTTTCAAACAAACACTTTGAAATAATATTTTTTTTGTGATTTATTTTTTTTTTTCAAAAATTTTCAAACTTAACACATTATTTTTTTGCCTGTTGGCATCATCACATCACAACATCATCATCCTCAGCGGCACTGTGTATCCATACATCCATCCATTGATCCGCCTGTCTGTCGTTATGTTTGTCTGAACGTCGAACGTATCATAAAACCGGTAAAACCACTTTATCCATTTGAACTATCGAACGCATAAATCCTCCTTTTTGTCTCATCTCATCTGTGGATTCTTTTATTTTTATTTTCGTTTCTTCTTCTTTTATTTTTCTTCACTGATTTTTGTTGTTGTTGCTTGGATTTTTAATGTGAAGACATTCTATATTGTCTACAGCACCGAACACCGAACACACACACACCTTCCTTTTAAATATGCGTTGCTGTTGTTGTTGTTAATTTTTATGCTGCGGTTGATTCTTCACATTAATAGGCGGCGTGATTTTAGCCTTTTTTCTGGTTCACTAAAGACAACAACTTTTTTTATTTATTTGAATTTTTAATTTAAAAATAAAGTTTTAACAACAAAATTCCTTTACACAGATCTTTAGAAGATCTCCTTTGAAACCGTTTTGTTTAACTTTGTTTTTTATTCATTAATTTTTTAATTGAATAAATATTTTTCAGCTCTCTATAACACTGTGTTTACAATTTAGTGTTGTTGTTTTTTATTGCTTTATTATTTAATTTTGTTTTATTCATCGAAATTTTTATTCATTCCACACTTTTTTTAATTTTATTTAATTTTTTATTTTAAATCTTTTACAACACTGCTTAACCAAAATAAAACAGAACGCACCACACGCCAAACCGTTGTTATTAATTTATTTTTTTATTATTCCTTTTTACACCGCCTTTCCGTCAAACACTTCTTCTTCTTCATTAATTCATGGATTTAAAATCCATCCGCTACGCGCGTCCAACAAAAAAACAATTCCGCCGCTGCTATCATCGACATGCAGACAGTTTCGCGTCTATTTTGGTTTTGCTGTTTTTCCATTTGCCTGACATCGGCGAGTCTACTCATTCTCTCACACGCTCTCTCTTCTCAATGACAGCCGCTCTCTCCCTTTCGACTCTTCTCTGTTTATGTTATGTGCCGTTCTCTCTCATTGGAATTACGTTACTACCTGCACTAACTGGTTCTTCATGTAAACAGTGTTGCCACAGCAAAGGTAACGCCATTATCGACCATGCAAAATACAGCATTACCAACCGTATTTGTCGTTCAATAAATTGTAGGGTAAATTGGTATCGTGTAAATAACTTCCAATTAGATTTATTAAATATTTATTAAATTTAATATTTAATATTAAAACTTAAATATTTATTCAAGAAATTAATCCTTTTGTTTACATTAGGAGAAAATATAACATTTTTTTCGAAATTCACTGAATTGAAGCCCCTTTTTAAGCCGCATCGTCTAGACTTTTATCGTGATAATGTGCAAATAAAAATCAATTCTCATAAAAGTACACAAAAGGCAACGCTTTAAAATACATTCAAATTCTAAATAGGTGCCTTGCAAAAAATGAATAATGCAGCAGCTAAAAATTTGAAAATTGTATACTTTTTCAAGGTAGGGCACATGCTACAATTATACAAGGTAAGGCATCTTTTGTCAACAAAGAGACTTTGCTATTTGAAAGACATCGGGTGACGTAGAGGATGATAGATACCAAGCAAGGGCTCGGATTGGATTTAACATGGCAAAGCCTAGGCTTATCTTGGTGGCCCTTTCATCTCAATTGTGGACACTGAACTCCCCGCGGTGTCACCTGGGGTAGCTACAACATATGCTACCCCATAAACAAATGGGTTAAGGCGTCGGGTTAGTTGCCCTCCTACTATAAAAAAGCAACGAAAAAGTAAACCAAACCTCGCAAATGTTTATGACCCCCTGCATACGTATAAAGGACCACGATCTGCCAAATCAGCACTTGGAATGTGCGCACGTTGTGCGGAACAAGTGCAGTTTTCGCTTTGGCGGATGGATGTACACAAGAATTACAAAGCCGATATTATTGCCTTACAGCATATGCGATAGAAAGGGACAGGCGTTAGTAAACTGATGACTAAGCCCTGTATATAGCTGCCATGAAACGTGACATGCATTTGGCTGCGGATTTATGTTTATCAGGAGAATATAAGACTTCGTCTCTAGATTCACTCCAGTAGATGACCGCATAGAAACAGCATATGAACGCTGCCCTGGCCATGTCATTAAAATTTTACTTGGAGATTTTAATTCTAAAAACGGAAATTTTAATGAAAAATTCAGGCTCCATGAAGAAACATCCGACAATGGCATGAGGTGGATTGACTTCGCGGCACAAAAATATGGTTGTTAGCAGTACCAAATTAAAGCATCTCGAAATATATAAGGCCACCTGGATTTCTCCTGATCAATTAACGAGAAATCAGATTGATCATGTGTATTTTTTTAAATTAGAAACATCCAAATATGGGCATTTTGGAAGAAAATATTTTTTGGTTATTTTGTGATACTTTTCGAACTCGAACCAAAATGATCCACCAAATTTTATCCGAAAGGAATGGTGTTCACAGAAAATGTGTTCTCCACAAAATTCTACTCTGGCACATAAAATTAATAGGTTCAATATGTAGCCTCGACAATCCAGGTTCGCACTCGTTTTAATGGAGCAGTAAAGTTGCGATCTAATGTTACATGGAAACTCGACGTCGAAAAGCTGCAAACACAGCAGATAGCAGAAGCCTACTACGCTCAACTAACACACCTGCTTTACGAAAATATCCTTGTCCCGATAATAAAATAGAAGCACAATCGCAAAGAATTACTACACCCTACAAACTGCAGCCAAAGCAACACTTGGGTACCAAAAACCACCATCAAGAAACTCGTGCGATGGAGAAATATCGGTAGAAAGGAGAAATACATTTTTTCAGAAAAAGGAAGAAAGAACTAGAAAAACGTGAGCGGGAGCAAATCGAGATGTACAGGAGTCAGAATGAAATCCAGAAATTTTACCAACGAGTAAAACACCAAACAGAAGGCTTTGTTGCAGGCATATCCTCCTATAGGGAGGATAACCTAGCCAGGATGAGGTCAGAATAGCAATCAATCAGCTGAAGAATAATAAAGCAGCAGTTGCCGAGGGCTACCAGCCAAACTATTCATAACCGGTGGTCAGATGCGGGTCAGTAGAATGCACCAGCCCAATGATTGAACCTCGTAATCCTGTGTCTCGTGCACAAAGAAAGGAGACAAGACGATATGTGCCAACTATAGAGGAATAAGCCCCTTCCGATCGCATATAAAGTGTTATGCAGCGTTCTGTGTGAACGACAGAAGCCAATGGTCAATGGCATTATTGGACCATACCAATGCGGCTTCAAATCTGGCAAATCCACCATTGACAAGATTTTTACTCTGTCCCAAATCCTGGGAAAAACACATCGCACTCTGTACACCAAAGAACACATTTTACTCGCATACGCCGAAGACATCGACATAATGGGTCGAATATTGCATTTGAACAATTGAGAAGGAGTCTGCCAAAGTGGGACTAGCAGTAAATGGCGAAAATACCAAGCTGATGGTATCTACTGTGAAACTTGAAAAGTACAGCTTCGAGGTAGTCAAAGATTTAAAATACCTCGATTCTGCCATAAATAAAACAAATGACATCAGTTTTGAAATACGAAGAAGGATAGTGTTGGCCAACAGATGCTACTATGGTCTGAGTAAGTAATTCAAAAAAACAAGGCCAACTCTCGCCAGACCATCACACTCTACAAGACGCTGATACTACCCGTGCTGTTGTATGGATCTGAAGTATAGGTACTTGCGCAGGCAGATGAGGCAGCTTTTGGAGTGTTTGAGAGACAAATTCAAACGGTGAATATTGTCATCGAATGAACCATGAGTTGTACCATATATTCTCGGACACTGACATAGTTAGACGTATCGAGCTGCAGTGACTACGTTGGCTAGGCCATCTTATGAGAATGGATAAAGATGCCCGAGCCCAAAAGGCATATAAAAGCGAACCAACTGATGGTTCACGCAGAAAGGGAAGCCCAGGAATAAGATGGAAAGATCAAGTTGAGGACAACATTGCCGAATGTGATCTTTCAAACTGGAAAAACCGCGCAAAAGACCTGCGCGCCTGGAAATCTTTTTTAAGCTCGGCTTATGGAACGAAAGTTATGTCACAAGCCAGCTAAGTAAGTAAGAAAGTTTTTAATATCACAAAAATGGTATTTTGAAATTAAATTATATTTATTTTATTTCAAATATATATGTATATATATATATATATATTAGGTTGGGGAAAACGAAATCCATTATTTTTTCGGCGGATGGCTGTACTGATAGATTTCTCGTAAAGTATCGATCAAACAATTTCCGATTTATGCTCGTTGGAAGGGTGACATTTCCCAGTAAAAAATATGTTGCTGCCTTCTTTTTTTGTGCATTCAGTTGTGAGTTACAGGGTGTTAAAAATGGAAGTGAACACGGAGAAAATTCGGTACATTTTACAGTTTTTCTTTGACAAAGGCGATGCTGTAACAGCCAATTATGTGCAATTTTGGCCAGAAACTTGGGGAGCTTGGTTGGGAAGTTTTAATTATCCGCCACACAGTCCGGACCAAGGCGTATTTAATAAGGTGTAAGTGACAATCATATGGTTTCAAACTTTTTTCCTTATTGTTTGTACAGTAAATTGTTAAAAACATTTTCAATATTACTTTTCGATTTCAAAAATGGTCTTTAAATGTAGTATTTTTTATTAATAAAAATTAAAGAAAATACATTCATAGAGGCGGACGGAAAGGAAACCTATGCTTAACTCAGTTATAACCCCGTTCGCCGATTGGTCCACATATTTTATGTTATGTGTGGAAATCTGTCCATAAATCCCAGCTACTCATGAAATCGAGGAGATTATGTTAGCATATATTGGAATCGGCCGCTTGGTGCTTGTCACAATCCTCGGCGGAGGTTAAATACGCCTATAAAAAGATTTTATATGGTTAACACAATTTCCATGATTTAGTCTTTGGCCGGGGATTAAATTGAAGGACATACAATTTTCTTTAAGAAGGCAAAATTTGAAACCACTCCATAGAAAAAATAGATTGTAATTCACAATATTAACAACATCCAACATGGGCTGCATGTGGGAAACATAAAATTAATCGCGACCAGGTCTTAAACTTTATTTTTCATTCACCCAAAACCGCCAATAACCCAAGAATATACAAATTCATTAATTATTTCTCAAAGAATAGTTCTTGACAAAAATAAATTAATAATTGTTTTTTTTTTTCAAAAACTTATTGTCAGCATGACAATTTAATTTCTATAACAACAATGTTGTTTTTGAAAAATATTTGTTGTTGTATCTGATGCATACACCTCATTAAATACACCTTGGTCCGGACTTGGCACCTAGCGATTACCATCTTTTTCTTGCATTGCAAAATTTCTTTAATGATGAAAAATTGGTATCTAGGAAGGATTGTGAAAATCGACTACTAGAGTTTTTTTTGCAAATAGAGAGCAGGACTTCTATGAGAGAGGCATTATGAAGTTACCTTTAAAATGTACTATGGTAAATCACAATTAAAATGTTTGCTGTGTTCCCAAACCTGCAACATAGCACTATATTGTACTAGTTTTGCAATTGTTGCTAGAAAAGCGTTTCCTTGCGCCGAAAAGTAGGAAAAATTGAAGTTAAATTTAAGAGAGTTAAAACCAAAATGGCGTTCTCTTCTCCTATTTTCTGCAAGACCAATTTGGCCTAGCACGAAATAGTAAATGTAGTAAATTATGAATTTGACATTTGATTGCCAGAGATATACAGTCCGAAATAAAGCATATGAAAGTTAGGGCTTCAACAAAAGGGACACACGCTCAGACGCACACACATTTGCTTGAAAAAAAAAACAAATAAGAAATTTAAAAATGGACAATTCTCTTTTGAATGAAGATGAATGGCTGGCAGAAGATTCAGATGAAGATACTATGGAATGAAAACTTGGATTGGTCAATCGTACCAAAATATCCAAAATATTTTGGGCTTAAGACAAGTTTAGGGGCTCCACTTGGATCGCTTTGACATTTTTACAGTAAGTAGTCCTCGGTGAAGTGATTACAGTGATATGGGGAGAAATGCATACTTCCCGAGAAATGCCTTGAAAGTTCGGAGAGTATGTTGTTTTAATTAGCCGTATCATTTTAAAGGTTATGGTTTGTGTTATATAACTAGATGAAGAATATATTGCGTAGCCATGTATGAGTCTGTCCATATGTGAAAGTCTTATTCTTAAGTTCTCTTAAAAAATATCCGGTATAACCTTTTAATGATACCCATATTGCCTTGGTGGCAATAAAAAAAGGGTTGTTTTAAACAAAATATGTTCCGAAATTTCAAGGCCAATATCTCGGGAAGTATGCATTTTCCCACATGAAATGTATATCACTGTAATCTGCACAAGGAGGGCTACATACGGTAATCATTTCAAAATGATCCGAATGGAGCCTCTAAACTTGACTTGTTCCATATCTTGTTGTTCTAGTTCGCAAAATATCTACCAATTTCAATAGCATTAACATTATAGGAGCGTCCAGCCATGTAAGCCTTTCCGGGCTCGGAGTCGTCGGAAACTCCACTTCCAAATATTCGATAAGGTTTTCCTCTAAATTATACAAATAAAAAAATAAACAAAAAATATTTATATTATCAAAATCACGCAATGGACGCCGTTTAACTTTTTGTTTTTTTTTTTGTGCATTAGGTTTCTGTAGTCTTTTTTTGTCCTTAACAAATGAAAATTTTGATTTTGACGTTTCTTCATGTTTTAACTATTTTTCGTTCCTTTACTTTTTGCGCAAATCTTGTATGTGAGAGTAATTTTTGATAGTTCGCTCTTTTACTAGCTTTACTATCAAAAAGTACGGGAACGAACCTTTTGTTTTTATCATAAAACTACTGGGAAATAAGCTTCCAATTCGTTACATTTGGAACGGTTTTAAATTTGGCCGGTTAGAAAAATTGTATCACAACCAACTTCACTCTCACGAACTTCAAGTGTCAAAAAAATACAACTCTGCGCATATATTATATATATATACAAATGTCATATTTGATCGCATTTATTTACTTCAATCGTTTCGTCGTGTAAATAAAAAACTACAAAATTCTAGAAATTTAACTGTAGTGTTCAAACAATAGACTTTCTTTTCACATAGGCAAATATGCCGAAATATTATTGCGATTATTGTGACACATATTTGACCCACGACTCACCGTCGGTACGTAAAACCCATTGTACGGGTCGTAAACATCGTGACAATGTGAAATTCTACTATCAAAAATGGATGGAAGAGGAGGCACAACATTTAATCGATGCCACCACTGCGGCGTTTAAAGCTGGTAAAATCACACAAAATCCATTTGCTGGTGGTCCACCAAAGCCTGGTCCAGCGGGTGTCGCCTTGCCGCCACCACCTAATCTAGGCGGACCACCAAGACCAGGTATGATGCCACCAGGTATGCCACCACCAATGATGATGGGTCCCCATGGTGCGATACCGCCGGCAATGTTGGGTATGCGTCCACCACCGATGATGGGTCCCATGATGGGACCACCACCACCATTGGGAGCTATGCCGGGTGTGCGGCCGCCAATGATGATGAGTGTGCCACCACCGAAATAACAAAATGACGACTAGGATGAGAACCAGCAACGTTTAATGATTGAAGTGCGGGATGGAAAAAATCGTTTATGGATGGAAATTTGACTATTTTTTGAATGCATATATTGAAAATAAAATACAACCATTGGAAAAATATTGTAATGTATAAGTTTTAGGACATAATTAATTCAATTTTTCTCATCATTTGTATTAACCTGATACAATTCAAATATATTATTTGGAATAAGAGTAAACAAAATAAATTGTTTGTTTTTTTATTTTGAAGATTATGTATGCAGTAAATGTCCCTGCAATCTTGGGGTGAGCTTGCTCCATGGCCATCTAACAACCTCTCTGTGTTATAAAAAAATTCAAGGTCTATCCAGGTGGTCAGATTGGGTGTTGGGGGAAAATCAGTAGCAACTCCAAACACCGCCTTGTAACGGGTTGGCTCCTCATGACATCGTTAGACCATCTACCGCATAGAAATATACTTTCATTACAATACCCTCTTGGCTATTTCATAGAGGTCATTCGAACCATCATTGTAGATGGAACTCAGGTAATCTGCAGTCAAGGATTACTTTTGAAATTATATTCTGCAACTTGGTGGTCTTAAGGATCGCCTGACTATCACATATACAGTTCAATACCCAGTTCGGCCAAGCAGAGGTATAATTCACAAATTCAGGAGTATCCAAATAAGTAAATCTACGCCTGTTTAGGCTCCCTGAAAATTTGATGTATAAAAATTCACACCTGTTTACTTACTTAGCTGGCTTGTGATCTTTGACTACCTCGAAGTTGTAGTTCTCAAGTTCCAAAATTGGTCCGAGTGTACTGGACGTCTTGCGCATTTATACCATCAGCTTGGTCTTCTCGCCATTTACTGCCAGACCCACTTTGGCAGACTTCTTCTCAATTCGTTCAAAGGTGGCTGTTACCGCTTTCAGTGTTCGACCCATAATTTGGTCGATGTCATCGGCGTAGGCGAGTAACATATGTAGTTTAGTGTACAGAGTGCCATTTCTGTTCACTTTTGCCTCTCGTATGACCTTTTCCGGCAGGATGTTAAAGAGGTCACACGACAAACTGCCACCTTGTCTTAGTCCTCGTTAGGTATGAATTGCTCCTATAGGTATTTTCCTAGTTTAACTGTTGATATTGCACCATTTAAAGTTATCCGGCATAGCCGTATTAATTTTGCAGGAATGCCAAACGCAGACATGGCTTTATACTCCTCTGAACGAATAGGGCTATCGAATGCGGCTTTATAGTCGACGAATAGATGGAATGTGTCGATGTGTTTTTCGTGGATTTTTTCCAGGATTTGGCGCAGAGTGAAAATCGGGTCGATGGTGGATTTGCCAGATCTGAAGCATTGGTATGGTCAAATAATGTCATTGATCATTGGCTTCAGTCGTTCACACAGCACGCTGGATATCACTTTATATGCGATGAGAAGGAGACTTATTCCTCTATAGTTGGCACATATCGTCTTGTCTCCTTTTTTGTGCACGGGACACAGGATGCTGAGGTTCCAGTCATTGGGCATGCATTCTTCTAGCTAAATTGTACTAATCAGCTGGTGCATGTTCCTTACCAGCATCTGATCACCAGTCTTGAATAGTTCGGCTTGTAACCCATCGGCACCTGCTGCTGTATTATTTTAAAGCCGATTGATTGCTATTCTGACCTCATCTTGGCTAGGTGTTATACCCTCTATACCGTCGTCTATTATTAGTTTTGGGGTATCTTCTTCACCGCTACTATTTGATACCAGAAGTTTTTCAAAAATGCTCCTTCCAGATCCTCAGCACGCTGTCTGTATTTGAAAAATTAATTTAAAAAATCAAAGCCAATGTAGGCAGGGTACATCAAAATTTAATTTAAGGTCCCTGAAAAATTATTTAAAAAAAATCGAAGCCTGTTTAGTCTTTTTGAAAATTAATTTAAAAAAAAATCAACGCTTGTTTAGGGTCCCTGAAAAATTAGTTTTAAAAATCCACGCCTAAAAAAAGATAATTAAAAACTATCCACGCCCGCTTTACGGTCACTGAAGAACTAATGTAAAAGAAGCCACACCCGTTCAGGATCCTGAAAAATTATTTTAAAAAAATCCACGGCTGTTTAGGGCCTCAGAAAAAAATATTTAAAATGCAAATACTTTGTAGAATTTTTAGTTACTATTTTTTTTTTTATTAACTTTTTACATTTTTTTAAATGTATATACATACTTTGTTCAATATAGAAATACATATTTGCCTTAACTACAACAAATTGTTATACAAAAAAAAATAAAAAGATTTTTTTCTCATATCATAAAAATATTTATTGCTCAATTTATTTGTTTTTTTTTTTCATTTTTTATTTAATATTAGTTACAATTTTTGTGATGTTGTTCTTTTTTTAATCATTGGTACAATTCAATTTGGGTTTGCGGCAACAATGCACAACAACAACTACATGTGCGAAGTTATGCATTGCTCTGACATAGTATACATAAATAAATAAAATGCTTAGATATAATTTTTAGTTCATAAAAAGAGAAATGCTTTCGTTTTAGAATTTAACTACTAGCCTCACAGAACGGAAAAAAACTAAATAAAATTAACAAAAAACATATGAATTGCACAAATGAAAATTATTAAAAATTGAACTAAAATTTGTTGTCGGTCGCGATCATCAAGATCATCCATCATCAGTTTTGTTCTTGAGACTGAGAAAATACTTAAATGATTAAATATACATTTTTATTTGTTATAATTGTCATATTACTAAAACTAATTAAGGATTTTTTTTTTATATATTATGAATAAAATCTTAGAAATAATTATTTGTTTTAAAAAGAAAGTCACTTAAAAACTAAACGTACACACAGATTTATGGTCTAATTCCCCAATTGTTGTGTTCCGAAAGAAATTTGCCTTATAATTAAATTCATATAACCATTATCATTCCATATGAGGACGCTTACTGGGTGATACTAAAACGGCTTGTTGTTGTTGTGTAAATGCAGGATTTATAATGTGATTTTCATAACGTTTATATTCGGAACCTATGTGCTCCAAATCTAAATTGGCATTTAGGACAACGACCTGAAAAAAAAACAATTAAGAGTTAGTATTAAAAAAAATAATAATTTTTAAAATAAAAAAAAATCGATATTCACAAACATTTTTTTAAATAAGAAACTAATTTATTTTTTGTTTACCTTTTTATTAAAAGCTGGATTATTAATCAACCACTCCTCGTGCAATTTATGCAATTCTTCTAGATATTTAATAGGTACACAACTTTCTTCGGAACGTGCCCGTTTGCGCATACGTTCATAGACCACCTCTGGTGTGGTACGTAAATATACTGTAATATATTGAAAAAATGGAGAATTAATTTCAAATTGTTTTTGATAAAAATATAAAAAAGGTAGTTATTACCTATGAGATCAGCCTGAACATGTATTGAATCGTCAATAAATTTATACCATTCCTGGAGAACATGATACATTCCTTCGTGAATTATATTGTTTCTATACATGTTCTCAACAAAGCAGTATCTGTAAAGAGATGAAAATTTAAATGAAAAACTTGAGTCAAATATTAGATATACAGAAATTATAATTTATGATTTAGATTCAAATCTGCGTTAATAAAGAACAAAAATTCACAATGTATCCTCATAAAGTCTACGACGTCGAGGATTTTTTTTTAATATTTTTGAAGTAGTCTACCATGGCGTAGATTTTTTAAAAATATTTCAAGACGTGTAATTTTTAATATATAACATATATTTATAAGGAGTCTACCAAGCCGTGTTTTTTTTAAATCAATTTTTCAATGTCCGATTTTGTCGCGATTTTTATAAGAATAATTTTTCAATTTTATCAAAAGTTGTGGATTTTTTGTTATTGTGAATTTTTAAAAAAATATTTTTGAAGTCAGTCTAAACGGGTGAATTTTGGGTCTTTGAAATATCAACGCCTGATTTGAGTCTTTGAAAAATTAATTTAAAAAATCCACGCCTGATTCGAGTCTTTGAAAAATTAATTTAAAAAATCCACGCCTGATTCGAGTCTTTGAAAAATTAATTTAAAAAATCCACGCCTGATTCGAGTCTTTGAAAAATTAATTTAAAAAATCCACGCCTGATTTGAGTCTTTGAAAAATTAATTTAAAAAATCCACGCCTGATTCGAGTCTTTGAAAAATTAATTTAAAAAATCCACGCCTGATTTGAGTCTTTGAAAAATTATTATTAATAGAATCCATGTCTGTTTAGGGTCCCTGAAAAATTAATTTAGAAAATCCTCGCCATTTTAGGGTCCCCGAAAAATTAATTTAAAAAAATCCACGCCTCTTTTGGGTCTGAAAAATTGATTTAGAAAATCCTCGCCATTTTAGGGTCCCCGAAAAATGTATTTAAAAAATCCACTTTTGTTTAGGGTCCCTGAAAAATAAATAAAAAAAATTGATCCCGTTTTATGGTCCCCGAAAATTAATTTAAAATGAAAATTTACGTCTGTTTAAGGTCCCCGAAAAATTAATTTAAAGCATCCACGCCGGTTTAGGGTCCCTGAAAAATTAATTTAAAAAAAAATCGATTCCGCCCTATGGTCCCTGAAAAAAATATTTAGAAAATTCACACCGAAAAATTAATTTAACATAAAGTATTAAATAATTCTTAAATTGTTGGTTTTTTCCAAATGAAATGATCAAAAAATGTTTTTAAATTGACATATGTACATATATCATTTTCTCTGGAATATTGTTGGTAATTTTAAATTTTCTTTATATTTTTTGTACAAAGCTCCTCTTTTTAATATTTAAAAACCCAGGTTGTAATACCCTGCACAACTATGTTGTCAGGGTATTATAGATTTGTACATCCCGATCGTCATATCTCGACTAGCTGAATCGATCTAGACACGTGTGTCCGTCCGTCTGTTCATTATAATTTGTAAACACGATACAGGCCGTATGGACCATTTTTCACGAAATTTTGCATGTAGGATGGGTTCTGGCCAATGAAGACCACTATTGTTTTTGGTAAAGATCGGTTAGTATTTAGGGGATGAAATGGACCAAAAACTTTGTTTTTGTCTGATTTTCTGGTCGCTCCAGAGGCCGTAATTATGGCCCAAACATCGCGAATTTTTACATGGAGAAGGGGATCGGGTCAAAGTATAAGCATGCCTGCTTTGATAAAGATCGGTCATTATTTAGCGCGTCAAATGGACCCTGACTTTTGTGTGAAAAATTACAAACTTTGTATTTTATGGCGTATATATTTATTCGCGGAGCATATAGATCCGCGAAATTTATAGTGTATCCAAGAGGAATGGTTGACCTTCAAAATGACTCCAAATACATTGTCGTATGTACTCGGATGTGGAAGTTACACACAAATATTTACAGGTGCACAAATACGTATTCAGATAATATTTAGTAACCCATTACCTCATTAGAGGGCGGAAATATAGCGTTGATTCCTTTAAAATTTTCCATGAAGTTCCAAATATGGTCAAAGACAACGCCTATAATTTTCGATGGTGATATGATTAAAATTTTGGGATGAAGCGGACCGAAAACTTAATTTTTTGTGTGTTTTCTGGTCGAATATAGGCGAACATCACAACACAACCCACCGTGAAGGAAATCGGAATAAAAATCAGAGTTCCGTGGTAGTTGTGTAGGGTATCGTATGGTCGGCCCCGTTTGACTATACTGCTCCGCTCAATGGTTTTAAGGTTCTCTTTTGGGTCTTTGAAAAATTAATTTAAAAAATCAACGCCTTTTTAGGGTCCTCATATACAAATTTATATAAAAATCTACGCCCTTTTAGAGTCCTGTTTTAGGTCTTTGAAAAATTATTTAAAAAAAAATCAACGCTTTTTTGGGTCTTTGAAAAAATACCAAAAAAATGGTAGTAATTTGAAATTTTCTTTATATTTGTTGTACAAAAATTCTTCTTTGTAATAATAATTATTAATTATTGGGTCTTAGGGCCAACTTTTCGAAGTACATATTACAAAATTTTGAGGAAACAAAAACTTTTATAAAAAAAAATGAATATTTTAATATAAATTCTACGCGCAAAACAAAAAATAGCCTCGACCAGTTTTTTATGCCCAAATTATTATTATTATTCTTTTGTATTGTCCAGTTTTTTAAAACCAGATTTTGCTAATCGGCAACCTAATCTGACAACACTTATCGTCCCATATAATATAAATTCCTGGAGGGGTATACACATTATAATTGACTAAATGTTTTTGTTATAAAAGCGTTTGACAGAAATGTCAATTGATGTCATAGACACTGCATTTTTTAGACTTTGTTAAAAGCCTTCATCATAGATTAAAACTCACGTTGAATTATCAACGATGATGAGCCTTGATAACAGCTAAAATTTGATAAGTATTTCGAACTACCACCCATTTAGGTCACGTTTCCTGAAATGTGTTATCGGATTTGTAACAAATTACTGAAAACACGTGCTATTTGTAAACAACATAGGCTGGGGAATGCATTAAAGGAGTAGTATTTAAATGAAGAATTATTATAAATCTCATCTTTCCTTGGAAACATCAACTCAATATTGTATTCAATAACATAATTTATACTACGCATCAACTGAACGATAGACAGATAAATAAAACAATAGGTTATTAATATTCTTACCTCGAACTGAAAATGGAACGTTCCATAAGTTTGACGGGCTTTTGTGTTTGCTGTGTATGACTTTGCAGCATGGTGAGAGTGACGTATGATTGAAAAGGCATAGCCCAACGTTCGGGTTCTTTGTACATCAATTCCTAAAAATAAGAAGCATGATTGCAACATAAATATCCACACATCATCCCCAACATATGACATAAAACTCATCGTATCGATACATACCAATAAATTAACGCCACGAACATTACGCCACTTCTCCACAGGCTCCGTGATGAGACATATTTTATCTTGAAATTGTTGGAAATGATTTAGGAAAGTAGTTTTGCCACTACCAATGTTGCCCTCAATTAATACGGTGAATGGCTGAGTTCCGGCAGCATATTTGGGTACTTTAGTTAGAGCAGCACTATTTCCAGCCATTACGGAAGAAAGTATACGACCTTGAATATAAACATGGAAATTAATTATAATAATAATACTTATATATAGCAAATTAAGCTAAAGAATTTTGAATTTGTTGCCAATAATTACAGTAAACAATTAATAGGACCAAATGTGTGTGTTTTCTAAACCAAAGTGCGTCAAGTAAAATAGATGGGTGGTGAGTGCTAGCTGTACGCAGTTTTCCTTTTTTGCAAATTCTGCTGTTCACAATTGATTTAAATTAAAACAAAAAACGCTTTCACAAAACACGAATTAGAACAAAAAAGAACTATTAATTTCTGTTTGTGCAACTTTCCACTACTACTGCAGTATGTTTGTTGCCTCCAAAGTTGATGATGTGATCAGTGAAAATGTCTATGTTATTAATGGAAAAAAGCGGGAAGCATTCGCGCTCGAAAACAGATTGTCAAAATTTTGTTTGTTTACGTTTGTAGTATTTTAATTGTTGTAATACGTTATTTTGTGTATATGGCAAGATCGTTGGCATCACATGGCATTGCCAGTTGCAATAAAGACGCCATGTTTGTCAAATGAACTAAATAATCAAAACACACACTTGACGTATGACAGAAATGTTGATATTAAGACGTAGATATACGTTTAAATGTTTTAATTGAATGACAAATACGTTTTGATTGGGGTATATATATGGAAATGTTTATGTCATATTTGTTTATAAATACATTTGAATACAGAGAACAATTAAACAATATTTATATTTTACAATATTTAGACTAAATCCACTTGATCTCAAATGTCAATTCCACAGCGTATTATATTTGACGTATACGCTATGGAATTGACGTTTGAGATCGAGTGGATCTCGTAAATCTAAATGATTTATTATGTCAAATATACTTGTAAACAAAAGCAAAATATTTTGTTTATTTTTGAATTTATTATTATCTTATAAATAAAATTGCTATCGGGTAGCAATTATGATTAAAATTAAATTGAATTAAAGTAAAATTTCATTACAAAATGGCAAACGTTTTCAACCAATTTTTAATTACAGCTGAATTTGGAAATATTTTTAATACTTTTTGTAGTTTGTAGGTAATATTGTAACAATTAATTTTAATTACAACGATGATACAATAATTCAAGTTTAAGGCAACTAGAGGTGAATAACAAAGAGTCAAAGTGGCTTCTTCTGTCAAATATAAAAAAACATACGGTTGTGTTTATTGGATTTTTTTTCTGAAACATAACAAAAAATGCGACAAATGAATGAAAGGAATTTGGGAAGAAATCATCCCAAAATTCAGTGTGGAATACCATTAAATGTTTGTTTCGTCATAACCCTGTGTTTTTAAGGAACAGGACAGTCAATGACAATTTAGTTTATATATAAAAATAAATAATGCCATGTTCTGACGGTCATCGGAACAACGTAGTTCGCTCTCAGAATTATGTACATGAATTAACCCGTTCATACAACACTATTCATAATTCATATCATCAGAGTTTTTAATTTCAAACTTTTTGTTTTTTGTTTTACACCAAAAATATAACATATTTTAGTGAATTACATAGGGATCTAAATAGAAAAAATAATTCTCTTTCTCCTGAATATAGTATGAATCCATATCTATTTACTTTTCATTCATGTTTTCCATTTTTTCTGAAAATGTTGTTTTTAATACATTTTTATATTTTCTCAATTCAAATGTCACATACTGTCACATATACAAATTTGGAGACTTTTTTGTTTGACTTGCACCATATTTGTTTCTTGTTTTGTACGCTAATTAGAACCAAGGGAAAAGAAATCAACACTGTAATTATACCGTGTTTGCATTTATATATTTTTTGGATATACAATAGCAAAGACATAAACGATTTTAACTGTCATATTGCATTATGTAGAAAACAAAATTTACATCCTGCTGCATATATAAAAACTCTACAATTTTTTACTTTTCATTCATGGTTTTCAATTTTACTGAAAAAGTTTGAAAATTTCATAAATATTTTCAAACTGTCAAAATTAATTTATTTTCGATAAATACTCTCAATTGTTAGGGATGGGACAAATTTATTGGTTATTCAGAGAGTGATTCGAATTGAACAACGTACAAAAGTCGGTGTTCGCTCAGACAATTTTGTATGGGGAACTAAGTAATTACTTCATAATTAAGGGTCGAACAACGAATGAGAGAGCGAACAACGCTCGTCTGTACATGGCATAAGTCTGAAAAGTGAGTTTTTCAGTAGAAGCTTTCAATGTATGGAAGTTTCTTTAATCGTACGTGACATGCTAAGTACATTTTTGCTTATAACTTTGGTTTGGATTGGCCGATGATTACCAAAATTTCAGTGAATTTAAATTAAGGACCGTAGTATCTAAAAACGTGAAGAACTTTAAAACATGCTAAGTCGACTTAGCCATGGCCTATAAATAAGGTCACCAAGGGAGACCAGCTGATTATCGATACCTCTCAAGTTTGCTGTCAAAATGCATTGTGAATTGACTTCCATTATGAAAACGTAAACAAAGTCGAAATTTTTGACATTAGATTTGTGAAAAAAACAGATGTTTTCCGATTTCGATTGCTATCTTGGTGACCTTATTAATAGATCTTCACAGTTCGTCCTCAGACGGCTCACAAGAAAGACGTGACCTAAAAAGTTTAAATGAGTATTATACGCCCACGAGCTTAAAAATAGATTTTTACAAAATGGCGGCTGTTAAGCGTTCGCTTAACTAACACGTGTGTTTTCAAATACGGATAACCTATAAAGTCCGAGTCGTTCAACAGAATTCAAACAGCTGCGCATGTAATTTTTAGATTTCGTAAATTTAGTAACAAAAGAAGATGCTTCCCGCAACTATGTGACTCCTTCACAGTAGAAGAGTTCACTGATACACAAGGCTTAGAAAGTCTGAACATTGTGGTCAAATTCTTGAAGAAGATCGAAGTCAACCTGTAAAACACAAACCACCATCTATGGATAAAGTCAAATTCGTAGCTTAAGCTACACATAGAGACATGGCTCTGAACATTCTAACACCAAATAGGACGTGAGCCAAGGAGGAGAGGAGTTAATTGAAAAAAAAAAAAAAAATAATAGATCTTGGACTTAGCATACTATGGTTCGGAGGCGTCGATATGTAGAATAAACGTCGAATTTCTATAAATCGATAGAGTCCGAAAAGTAAATAATATATTTGCTATAATAAAAATGTTTTCAAAAAATAAAATCGAGCGACATCAATACTGAAATACAATACTGTTTTTTGTACCAAAAACTGTATCACTTTTCCTAGAAGTACCAAAATGGCAAGTTATAAATTAATATTATAGCTGTTTACATGGTATAATAATAGAAGGTAACAGCAAGTGTTGTTGTACAAAAAACGATACAACAACCACATGTAAATTTGTTGTTGTAAGTTCTAGTTCTAGTGTCAACTCATTTGACAGAAAAATGTAAACAAACAAATTATCATCAAATTATTTTTATTTATGAAATATTTTTGAATCCTCAAAATAAAAATTGAAAAACATGAATGAAAATCTATCAAATTTATATTTCTATCGCTTCCACATCTTTCCTATAATTGAGCCATTGCAATATATATGTGTAACACATATGAAAATGCTGGGAATAGCGAGTTATTCCTTGAAGAAAGATTTGCTTCCTCAAACTTTCCCAGCAGGCAGATTGAGTAAATTGAATACAGGAGCACATTTAATAAAGAACAATTTCAAATTGTATGCGTTCCCAATTTTCCTGTTGGGTGATTTTTAAAAACATAATTTGTCAAATTCATATTGGCACTAGTATTACGTTGGAATCAAATCAGCTGGGATTTGCTGTTACCTTTTATAATTGTACCATGAGCTGTTTATTGCGCCATGAAATATTCAAAGAAAAAAGTTGCAACTACTTCACATTGCTTCATTTTAGTGAATAACTCATTGTATTGAACTATATTTCTTCACGGTGCGGCACGGCTCCGGCATATGGATTTTATTCGATTTACAGTGTTTTTTGTAGCGAATTTTACATGTGACACAATATTATAACTTACCCAATAACTTTGTTATCATTATATTGAATTGCTTTAGATGTTTTAAAACTTATTAATTTCACTTTTATTTCACAACAAACCCCACTACTGTGGTAATCAATTTCACGACTAATAACAGCTGTTGTTTAGAATCTGTGGGAAATGTGTGGTGGCAACCTATTTTAAAGGCGTACAAATGTTTTTGCTGAAAATTACGGTTATATTAATTTAAATTCAAAATTGAGTATTATAACTGATTTGAATTTGAATTCTTTAAATACTGTTTTAATTAAATTCAAATAGATTAAAAAAACATCTATTAGAACAAACATTTAATGATGATCCCTACTCGACATGGGACATTTGAAACCATGGAATAATATCTGAAATTTTCTATGTTTACAAATTGAAAGAAAATATTTGAAAAAACATTTCTCTCTTCGGGAACGAACAAAAATATTTTATTAATCGTAGTTCTTTTCGATTTCCCTTTTAGCTGAAGAACAGTTTGTTTGATTTGTTTTGCACCATTGCGAGACATCGAGACACAAGGTTTGATTTTTGCCTTCCCTCTATCACTCTTTCCAGGGGTCTTCGTCGACGCTACCGAGCAACTGCGTGGGTCTGTTCGTGGCTAGTTGTAGCGCATCTGAAAAACAAATTCTCTTCACAGCAACTGTTTGTTTTTGTTGTAGCAGCTTGTACTGCTGTGCATTTCTTCTTAATCATTCAGTTCAGGAAGGCTGCGAACTGTATCGGATGTGTCCAAAGGCTGGCTGGGCAGTTGAATAAGTGTAGTGTGTCATGTGGACCATTACCAGATGGCCGGCAGATATTATCGACCTCGCCATTAATTCGTGCCCAATATGAATTGAGGCGGCTTCAACATTCAGATCTTAATTGTGTCAACACCACTTTGGTTTGTCGAGGTAGCTGCTGCTCTTCTGCAGCTATCTTGGACGGGTGATCACCGAGGATTGTATTCACACGATATTCTCGAATTGCTTCCTCAACTGTATCCGTGTGCATACGATTCAATCCTGCTTGATAGTCCTGTTCATCTAGAAGCTCCATTGTTTACCTTTGGACCTCTCTCTCAAGATCATGAAGACCCTTGCTGACATACCTAGGTGGTGAGTGCGACATTTTGGCAGGATTGAAGTTTGCAGTGACGTTAGCGGGCCACACTGGCACCGCATAGTTTACCACAGACCGGCCTATTTCTGTGATGTTAACAAAATTTCTTTGTCAGCTCCCCAAGTGCTGCCGGCTAGTGACATGATAACATTTTTTTCTGCTCCTGATCTTATCGCAAATAGCTGTGGCATGCGCGGACGTCTTATAATGACTATCGAATATGACACCTAGAATCTTGACGTAATTTGAAGTCGGAATTGTGAACCCATCGACCTGCGCATTCAAAGATAGCCGCATCTCCGCTGTCCAGCTGTTGAATTAGTGGCGGATATTTCAATATTCCTCGACCGGAAAAAGTCTGCAATATCCACGAGAAAGTGGTTCTGCCTTTCGCAAATGTCATCAATTTTGGGTCCTGATCGTACAATCATCTGCGTATGTCACCCCTCCTTGGGGAACTCCCTGTTTAACTCTACGGGCCTTCGACTTCCTGTCTCTGAATTCCACGTACCACTGGCGTCCACACATATAGGTCACGATCCAACGTTTCAAACATGGTTGGAGGGTTGTTCTCTCGATGTCCTCGAACAGCATTGCGTGACTGACGGTATCAAATGCCTTTGATAGGTTCAGCGCCACAACAACTGTTCTGTTACACGGCTTGTTCTGGTTGAGTCCTAACGTTATATGTGTAGAAATGGCGTGCAAAGCTGATGTTTTACTATGCTGCTTCCGGATGTTGATGATCAGCAACTGAGTAGCATTCACAAATACTGGATAGTAGTAAAGCCTCAAGTGCCTTAGCTACAGGCGACAAAAATGAGATCGGCCTGTATGGCTCACCTTTGCTGGTATCCTTGCCTGACTTCAATAGCGGGACCACCCTGCTCATTTTCCAGGCATCGGGAACTATTTGGGTGGCTAACGACAAGTTGAGGACTTTAGGGTACTCTACTCCTGGCTCATTAAGCTGATTCAACAGCACCATGGAGATTCCATCTGGACCAAGCGCCTTGGATGATTCCGCTCTTCTGATGACACTTGCAACATCCTCTAACGTTAATTATTGAGCAGTACTCTTCGCCCCTTCACTCTCGGAGTGCTCTAGAAACTGCCGGTTGAAATAACACGCGCACCTCTTCGGATCTGTCAACTCAACGCCCTTAAATGAGACAGACGTCCGATCATCCTTTCTTCCAAGGTTCGAGAGCGACTTAACCGTTGCCCACAATTAACTTACTCCGGTAATGATGTTGCAACACCTCAGATGTTCTAGTCACTTTTTCCGCTATGCTCGCCGACTAACCTGTTCACCTCCATCGCCAGTTCAATGATTCTGGGGTTAGTACAACGAAGCTCATCATGCTCATTCGCTAATCCCGTTGCCTCTGCTGGGAAGTTTCGGGTAGATCATAAAAATTCATCTTTGTCGAACATAACAGTATTTTTTTTTTTGGCCGCAATTGTAAAAAGTGCCGAAAAAACATGAGAAATTTTGTGATGAAGTGAGGAAATATTTTCTCTTTCAACTCCATTTTAACTTATACGAACCACCCTGTTTATGGCGTACACCCATCGTTCGTTCAGCTCATTTCAGTGAATCATTCAATTGAACTAGTTCTCCGTGAATTCTCTATAACAGAATTTAATTTATTTATTGTCGGTTGCAAAAAACAAAAAACACGAATCGAAACTGGAGCAGAATTAATAAATATTGTGGAATTAATTATAATTCAGAGTGATTTATAATACGAAAAGAAGAAGAAACTATTTCTCATTGCAAAAAGAAAGGAGGACATGGTTAAATTTTTAATACTCTATCATCTTATTGATGCACACATATAAAAACCGAGAGAATTCAAACAAATTAAATATATACAACAAAAAGTGTAGTAATTTGTTTTCGCAACAACAAGAACAAAAACAACAATCAAACGGCATCAACGGAGACGGCAATTGAGTATTGTAGTGCATTTGCAAAAATATTAAGAAGAAGAATTATTATTATAATAATACATACATACCAACAAACAAATATAGATACTAAGTAAGTGCAAATGGTTAGTGTTGTTGTTGTTTTTTCTTTTGCGGTGCAGTGTACGTTTTGTTTTTGTTTATATGCCTGTCAGCCAGCCTGCCTGTTTGTCCGTTTGTGTCTTGTTTTGTCTGTGCCATGATTGAATGCCTCAATTTAATTGTTTTGGGTTTGGTTGGTTGTTGCTGTTGTTGTGGGGTGTTGTTGGTGGTACGGTGGTGGGGAACAGCACATAAAAAGCCCTGCAACAACACTAAAACGTAATTCTGAATAAAAATGTGTGGTGAATGGTGGAGGACAACAAGACCGAACCAGCTGTGAAAGGAATACTAAAAAAAGGAGGAGAAGGAGAAGCAGGGGAAGAAAATACCGAAAATCCTTTTTTCCTATACACTACAACTGTTCGTTTTGCTGTTCGCTGCTAGCTCGCTCGCCTGGCTGGTTGGTTGGTCGTCCGTTTATTCACTGGTATAGAGAGAAAAATTTTCAAATACATTTCGACAAAACGTATCTGCATAGCCAAGGGAAAAGACCAACAAAATTGACTAGAACGAAAAATTACAAAAATTTTCACATTCAATCGATTAATTTAAAAGTGGTTGCGGCTGTTTCAAATTGTTTGTTTATTTCTTTTTCCTCCTTTTATTTAATTGCAAATAAAAGCTATTTAGTATTTGATTTCCGAAAAAGGCTAACAGCAAAATGACCAATTTGGAGAAACAACACGAATTGGTTAAGAACAGTTTGGTGCAATTTGTCAGTGCCCATATACCGGGTGCTGATTTCAGTGTGGTCGATGAAATTGTCCTGTCGTATATAATTTCCATTTTGGAGGAAGCCTCCCAGGATCCGTGCTTTGATGTAGAGGGTTTTGTGGAAATGATGAGCGCCTATTTTGCCGAATTTTCTTCGATTGATCAGGGCATCATATGCGATTGGATATACAAGTTGGCCAATGAACTATTGGAACTACAGAAAAATCCTGATAAACATTCGGCAGCAAATTTATCCCTAAAGTAAGTTTGCATTTTTTGGGGAACATTTAGAGAAAAAATAATTTTCCTGTGTGCATTTCATTTCTCTATATTCAGTTCACTTTCCCTTTCGGATATAATACCCGAATCCAAGTTGAGAGCACGCAATTCATCATCTTCGTCGGAAAAGGACGAATATCCGGAAAGCGATGAATATGTATCCGGTAATAATGGTTATGACATTAATGCCATCTACAGTCAGGAAATAAAAATTTTGGAAGAAATGTTTCCCGATACACCATTGATTGAGGTAAGTTTTATAAAGAAGTTAAGAAGAAGCCATAGATATTATATGCAGCAGTTAGTTGCATTGTATGGATTGTCGTACACAAAGGGAGATAAGAAGATGATACTTTTGCTACACTTACGATACATATAGAGATACACATATAAGTCAACAAAAGTTACAAACGAAAAAAAGCAAATGAGAAATATAAAATACCTACTTCAAATTGTTATACCATTCAAGTGAAGTGTTAATTTTTTTTTTCAAATGTTTTAGGAGTTATAGGGTTGTTAATATTGTGCATTTGATGATATACGATTTGTAATATTGCGATGTAAGATAGAAATGTGTTTGACCCCACCCATAAATTTTAAAGTTGCAATGCATTTCTGCTAAGAGATAAAATCATCTATCAATAGGGTAAATTTAATAGGTAACATTTTAAGAAGAGGATCTCAAAAACTCAAACTTCATGATTGATTATTATTACTTTCTCTGTAAAAAGCTACTTTAGAAAATCATATTAACTTCCATATGGAGATGTAATATGTTTTATTTCTTTGAATACTTCAAAGGACCTTGTAAAACACAAGCTTCAGTTAGAGATAATCTAATAGGCAAAGAAAAAAATTAATTCTGGCGAATTGCTGACTGCAAATGAAATGGGTGATATGAAATTAGATAGAGATGTTTATATGTTTGCAAGATATAACAAGTAAAAGTGTCAGTCGGTGTTGCCGACAGATATATACCCCCAGCCTATGGTTTGCAGAGGTCTTCGGAATTACACACAGATTTTATTATTAGCTTTATATAAGAAATATGTTTTTATCAAAGAGGTTTCGGATTTAATGTTGATAAAATTTTATAAAATATTGACCATTTGTGAGGGACTTGATATAGGGTTGGTAAAGACAATAGGTTGTACAAGGATTGGCTTAAATATGACATTCCACTAGCCTGATATTGGATTTGTAAATATTGAAAATTTTGACCCTTTGTGGGAGAGGTACCAGAAGGAATGGACCGACTTTCCCCATCTTCGAACTTAAACTAAGTTTGGGAGAAATATTAAGATGTACAAAGCTTGGTTGAAATCGATTATTCGCTTCGAGAGTTATCGTGCGCACCAGCCAGACAGACAGATGGACATAGCTAAATCTACTCCAAATTTTCTGAAACGGATTTGGTCCAAAGAAACATGGGGTATAAAACCATTATTTCGATGAGGCACATTTTATCCGTATCAAAGTGCATATACCCTCATAAGCATAAAGGCTGAGGGTATAAAAAACAAGGCTAGAGGTAGTTTTCAAGAAAAATACTACAGTAATTTTAAACAAAGGTAAATAATTAACCTCTTGGTTGAAAGGTAATGTTTTTTAATTTATATATATTAATTTTTTTAATTTATATATATAAACTGTTCTTTTTTTGTTCCAATGATGATGGAAGGCTTTGGCATTGTAGATTAGGTCATACAAATTAGAAGGAGCTTGATTAAATGAATCGAACTTTATGAAGAAGTGCTCGGGGTATTATACCATATAAATGAAAAGACTTTGAGTAAATGAATCGAATTTTAAGTCTTATACAAAAAGTTTTCAAAGATTACTTTACAAGCTATCAGGCAAATATTGTTGATAATGTAATCGGTGAAAATCCAGAAACATATACAGATGTTTTAACAAGGAAAAACGAAAATGAATGGCTTAAAGCAATAAAAGAGGAAGTAAAATCAATGAACTACAACATACACTGAAACATAGGGGAAATTCCTTAAAATGTAAAAACTTACAAGTCAAAGTGGGTATTTCGCGTTAAGAAGTATGAATATTGGAAATGTTTAAAATTATGAGGAGAGATTAGTAGCTAAAGGATTTTTACAAAAACATGGCATAGATTATAAATAAAGCTTAGCAGTTGGAGTTCAACGCGGATATTTTTTTCATCAAATTAAAACTGCATTTCTACATGGGGAATTAAAGGAACAAATATTCATGGAATCGCCTGAGGGAATCGTCCTTGACAAGAATGAGATTTTTCGCATTAATAAATCTATGTATGATTTAAAACAAAGTCAACGTTGCTGGAATGAAAAAAAAAAAATCATTTGTAAGATCAAAGCGTGATCACTATCTGTCAAATATACAAATTCTACGACAACATATGTTGATGATTTATTAATCGCATGTAGCGACGAAAATGAGAGTACACCATCGCGAATTAGGAAAACAAATTAGTTCTGTAAGAATTGCATTTTTGTTAAAATTCCAAGGAGTGTTAATATTGAGCTATGTTCCCGGGTCATTGTTCATAAGCACAAATTCTTTAATGGAATTTGGAGATATATGTAGTAAAGAACAATTTTAGTGCAAAAGATGCAATGGTCGAAAGCTTTCATATGTCTGATGCCAAGGACAAATGATACCTACAATCATTTTTATCACCCTCTTCCTATAAGACATCTGCGAAGTAGTTTTATGACCAAATGCCCTTTGAAATCCTGCATTCAGGTTTCTCTGAGTAGTTCTAACTGCAGTATTTCTAATTGATTACCCCAACAATGTAGCCAAAATGAGGACGTAGATAACCCTTAATTCGTAGACCGGGCGACTGTGACCCATCCTCAAGTAATCTCATCATCTTTCCATTCACATTTATTACACTAAGACTATGGAACCCAACAAAGTTTCACGAACCGTCGTAAATCATTCAGAGCAACGTTACAGACATCAACCGCATTTCAATTCATAACACGTGATTTTATTGCTTAAGGGACGCTTGGCTATTGGCATATACAGGGTATTATGTGTTTGTGCATATGTTTGATAGACCTTTTATTTCTAAGTGGATTTATGTACGCCTGCCAGTCCGTCTTTCCATATTAAATTGTAAGCAAATTTTAAACAGGTCGCATTTATGATTCGAATGAGATGAAATTTGGCACAGCCCACATATTTGATCCAAGGATGAAATTGGAGAAAATCGGTTCAGATTTAGATATAGCTCCCATATATACTTTTCGCCGATTTTATGTAAACAGTGCATCAAACTCCCAAGATATGTTTGATAGGAACAAACTTGAGTCTAGAATTACGTGTGTTAAGTTTCGTCGAAATCGATATATATCCCATATCAGATTTATATATAGTGGTGTGTCCCTATATATATATTTCTGTCCGATTTTTGTAAATGTTAATTTGTTAATTTACATAATTTGATTATTTTTTGCAGATTAAATATTGTATTACCATTGCAAATGGTGACATTGATGGGGCAACACAAACTATATTACATCGCCAGGATACGGGCCAAAGTCTAACCGATAAAAGTCATACAGTTGGCCGTAAGAATGTTGTTGCCGATGATACGGAATTAAAGAATCGTATTATTGCCAGGTAACTAATCAGATTGAACTTTGAAAACAATTAAATTTAATGTTTAAATGTTTCCCTCTTCCTTTAGATATTCCTATGTGGATAAAGACTCAGCCAAACGTGAATACAAACCAATGGCACCCAAGGTGGAACCGAAAAAACTGGTACGTTATAGAGATAATAAAATCGTTTCACTAAAAGGCGAACGTTATACTGAGGTTAAACGCGACGAAGAAGCTGAGTTAAAAAAACCCAAAAAGCCAATTCAGCCGTAACTAAAGTGGATGAAAATCTATTACAAATATTTTATAAGAAAGCTGAAAATCGACAGCTTCAACAAAAAATGGCAGCAACATGCTATAACCATATTATATGACAACAACAACAACAGCAACATGTTGCATATTTATTTTATCTCTATAAAAGAAGATATCAAGAATGGAGTATATGAAAAACATAATAATAATTATGAAAACGACGAAGAAGAAGAAGTGGAAATTGAAAACAAAAAACATTTAAATTTAAGACAACATTTTCAAAGTATTATAGAACAATTAGTGTTTTGTGTAAACTCCAAATTCTTCCCCACTTATAATGCTCCTATTACTACTACTATTAATAATATTAACCAACACCACCACCACAATGACACTGGCAACAACAAGAACAACAACACCACCAATAACATTATTAACTCAACTTTATGCGAAAAAGTTGTTAATAATTTATTAAATTATCCTCCTTTAAACAAAATAATAATAACTAAAGCACATAAAAAACAACTAGTAGTAGCACCACTACTATTACAACAACAAATATTTATAACACATTATTTATTAAACATTATAAAAATGTTGCAAAACACACACAACAACAACACATTTTATGCACCAAAAAATGGCAGCAATGGCATACAACAACAACACGAAGAACAGCATATTGATAAGCAAAAAACAATTGCAGAATCTCATAAAAATATTATTCGGCTTCCTATGGATTTATACAAAAAACGAACATCGCCACCACCGCCACCATTATTAGTATTGTATCATCATCTTCATCGTCTTCTTCAACCATTACCAAAGTTATTAAAAATACAGCGGCAATTATTGTTAGTCAACCTAAACGTAACCGTAACCCTACCTTTGGCAGAATTATTCCTAGCCAATGATGGTCCTTTCAAGCAGTTTGTTGTGATATTTGTTAGTATAATTGATTTTATGTCCATTATTTTTAATTTTTATTATTATTTTTTGACAACATCCAAATTATGCCAGGTACTACTACCATTCTCATCCACAGTAGTATTGCCAATTTTATTTCCCCTTATTGTATGTTCCTTATTATTTCAAATATTATTTAGTTGTTGTTTATCATTATTAATATTATTATTGTATTTTATTAGAATTTCGAATTCTCTAACAAAGACTTTTAGTAGATTATTGCTGTTGTTGCAGCAAAGCAAAAATTTCTATTTTTCCAATTATTGTCATGAACGCAAATGCAATTCATCGAATAATTTCAATACCAATTCTTCCGATTTTAAGAGTTCTCATGAAAATGATCACTTTTCATTTCATTTTCATTATTGTTATCATCATGCGAATTTGTCACGTTTATGAGTTTTTACCGAAACTTCAATGTTAATTAGTTGATTTTACAACTATCTGTATGTATTATTTAATAGAAACTTATGACAAATTATATGTGTGTTATATTTGGAATAAAGTAACGAAATATTCCCACTGCTTTGGGTTAGGTAATAATGATTATTGTAATGGGAAACAACAACGGTAGCAGTGTTTAGAAACTAAAATTAAAGGAATTTGTAAATTAATTAAATGGGCCAACATTTCCAAATTTCATCATAAGGAGAAATGTGGACATTTGGGGAAAAATCTAATCCGAGCGTAATCTAATCCGAGCGTAATAAAACAAACAATTTAATTTGTAAAGAATTGCATTAAAGGAATTTGTAAATTAATTGTTTGCAAACATTTCCTAATTAAATTGACTAAAATTTCGAAATTTCGTCATAAGGAGAAATGTGAAAATCTTCGGAAAAAAATCCTATCAGGACACAATAGAGATTTAGACGATCACAAATAAAACAATTTGATTTGTAAAGAATTAAATTAAATGAAATTATAAATTAATTGTGGGCAAAAATCTCCTAATTAAATGGACCAAAATTTCGAAATTCTAATCATAACACAATAGAGATTTAGGAACGATCACATTTAAAACAAATTGATTCCTTTGTAAAGTCGGTTTGGGTATTGTTTTGATCTTAAACATAAACCAGAAGTGGTAAAAGTCCAGGAGACCCAAAATCGGTCTTAATTTATGGCTAATGATGACTATTGTTCTTGGGTCCATGATTAGAGGATTGTCTTACGATGGCACCAAATGAAGAGTAAAATAATTATCTCGACTTCGGGAGATGAACATATCCAGCTTCAACTTACGATGTCATTAATGAGATTGGCAGATATATCGTAAAGAACAATTTTGTTGTAAAAATGCATTTCACATGCATATGATGTCAAGGACACATGACAACTAAAGTGATATTGATCTCCCTCTTCCCATAAGAAGTAGCTGCGAAGTAGTTTTATGTGGTGAAAAACCTGGCCATATGGTCTTTGAAATCCTACGTTCAGGTTCTTCTGAAAATCTGTTGCCGGCTATATCGACGTCGGGAAATAAACATATCCAGTTTCAAATTACGAAGCCATTAAAATTCATTAATGAGATTGGGAGATATCGTAAAGATCAATTTTGGTGTAAAAATGCATTGGCCCAAAGCTTTACATGCATGATGTCAAGGACACATGATACCTACAATGATATTGATCTCACTCTTCTTTCAAGAAGTAGTTTTATGATGTGAAAAATCTGACCATATGGCCTTTGAAATCCGGCTACCTCCACAAAGAGGTCGTCGTACATATCCCTCAATCCATAGACCGGGCGACTATGAAAATCTGTTGCCGGCTATCTCGACGTCGGGAAATAAACAATTCAGCTACTTCTCATGGGAATACTGCGACGTACTACTCATGGAAATACTGCGTTCAGGTTCCTCTGAACATCTGTTTCCGGCTACATCCAAAAGGAGTGTTGTACATATCCCTCAATCCATAGATCGGGCGATCGGGTGACCCACCCCGAGCAAGCTCATCACCTTTCTCATTCCCATTTACTACACTATATCCTGGAACCCAACAAAAATTAACGAATAGACATGAAGTCCTTAGTATTTCCAAAGTTACAGGCCAGCCACCGCCCCATTTCCGCTCTAGTTGTCTGAAACACCAAACATATTTATACACAGTTTGGAGATGTAGTATCGCGTTAGGAACACCCTGAGGAATTCTTTTAATAGCTTCAGTTATGAGAAACAGGCACTGTCCTTCACCCACTTACTAGTAGGGAAAAAGGGGCACTTCTTCCTTGCGTCAGCCATCAAAATAGGATAGCTTTTGGAATGTTTATCCGTCAAGCATTTAGCAGTTGCTTTCGCTGGGAGAACCTAGGAGCTTTGTGTTTATACTGAGGACATAAAGAGAATAAAAACAGAAATTAGTAGAAATGAACAATTAAGGGGGATAGATGATGAAATTAAAAGCTTTTTTGATTGTTTCCTCATCATCTGTAGAACAGTCCAATGAATAGTCCACTCCATTGATTTTTCAATTGGGTGTGTGAGACCTAATCCTGCAATAACCTGTTATTCAACCTCTTTTTTCCTTAGTGACAACAATCAGGTAGTTCTGTGTTGTGAAAATTCCGACCAGATAGAGTTTGAAGTTCTGCACCAGGCTCCTCAAACCATCTGCTGCCCAACTTATTCTCGCATTATATCTTACGAACTTTGCCAATGTAATAGCCAATAGGCTGTCTAATAGATTTCTCCTCAATCTGCAGGTCGGACGAGCTCATCACTATTTCAGCTGCTTTTGAGATTGCTAAGACTTCTGGCCATCATGAAGACCCCTGTATATATCGACAGACCGGTTTAAGGTAGAGAGCATATTGTTCATTGTAGGTGAGCATAACTGAGAAGACATTACCAAAAATAACTGAAGAAATAGAACAAATGATTTTGGAAGCATGATGTTGGGAAGATTTGTGCACCAAAAATATAGAAGCTTCGGATTATTCTATTCGGATATGAGAAAATGGAAAGTTGAACCAAAGACTCAACTCTTTCCTGGAAGATATTACTATGTCGTCACCTGTACTGGAAGGTTAGCGATATGATTACCTGGCAGTTATCCTATAAATAAGCGTGTGGCTAGCTGAGTGGATCTAGACATGTGTGTCCGTTCGTTTGTCCGTCTGTCGATTAAAATTTGTAAACACAGTACAGGCCACATTTATGAACCAATCGTTACGAAATTTTGCATGGAAGTTCGTTTCCCACCAAGAGAGAATCCGTCAATATTTAGAGGGTCAAATGGAGCCATACTTTTATATGAACAATTACAAAATTTACATTCTATGACATATATGTATATTTACTTCTGACGGACATAGACCGGAAAAGTTGACAGTATATCGAAGAGAAGTGGTTGATCATTAAATTGATACCAATTACATTGAAGTATGTAGTCGGATGTGTGCAGGGGTTTACCAATTCTGATATTGTTTAGTATTACCATTGCCACACTCTAGAGGGCGTATGTTTTACCTAAGTAGAGGCCCTGAAAGCTAACGATCATGCGCATGGCATATGATTCCTATAAATAAGAAGTCAGCGTGTGGTTAAATGAAGATATTTTCTTTTTGTAATAATTGCATCTCAAATTTGACCACTCCGGTGATCAGATGTTGAAATTTTTGTGACAATTAGAATGGAAATTTAAAACATCAGAGAGAGATCTTCAAAATTCAGGGACACATACATTAGATGAGAAGTAAAGGGGGATGTATTTAAACTATCATTCGTATGTTCCAATTGGAAAATATTAAATTGAAAATTATATTTTCGAATATAAATTCGAGATGTATTGGACATTGCTATGATCAAAAAACCTAACCTCTAAAAAAAATGAAACGAATATCACACACACATATTACACACATTTCTTTTGTTTTCATAGAAAAGAAGAGAAAAAAGGATAACAAAAAATGAGCTCAAATAGACTTATGGATCTGTAATAATGATATCAAAATGAACAAACAAAACTACTCTATATATATTTTTTTATTTCTTTTTCTAGGTTATGTTTTTTTAAAGAAAACAACTAAAATTTAAGTAATTATTAAAAAAACACAAACAAAAAAACTTTTTTAAAACAACAACAACTAAACAAAAATTTATGTAC